TGACGGCAGCAGTTTGTTGCGAATATATTTTACAGCAATAAACCAAAATAATTTCCTTGTTGGCTGTTAATATTTCTCCAAACAATGCTATAATAATCGCAGAATTTTTTAATAATCTGCCCTAAACAATTACACGTTCGATTGGATTAAAGAAAAATGTCGAAAATGCTTTCTATTAGCTCAATTACATTCGTAAGTATTGGAATCCACATTTCTGATAATAATTATAATAGTAATTGTAGGTCTCAAAAATTGAGAACAAATCATCAAATTCTAAACAAAACTTTATTTGATTCGTGATTTTTGGAAGTAAAAGAAAAAATGTATATGTTTAAGAACTTTTTTCTCAAAAAAAAAGAATGCATATATTGTCCTCTGTTCTTCCCATGCACTCAATGCTTACCATGTTTCATAAAAAAAAAAAGTTGTGTGAAGGACGTATAGGTGACTTTTTTTCCTCCTATGACGTCGAACGCTTTTTGTATAAAAAGGAAAAGAATAAATTTAATAACAACCTACATGTGCCTGCCACGTTGTCAACGTATGAGAAAGCAGTCAACTTGATCAATGCAAAATGCACACGAAAATAACCTATCGTTTGTGTCATAGTTATTCTTGGTCTAGAGAAATAAATAAATGTTCAACGTAGATTATCGAAATCGTGATGGGATCATAAGGAACATCAATATATGGTTAAAAAGATACACATTATTAATATGGCTATTATTTGTCTGTTGTGTTACTTTGTATATGAAATTCCAATCAAAAAGGAATGGAGAGAAATCAAGCGAAGGTATTTGTAATTTTGAAAAAATCATTGAATTTGTGTTTTGTTTTGGTTAGGTTATTTTTGGGTATTTACTGATTCACATGTTGATGTTCTTTATCGAAATGATGGTGATCCAACTACTCGTTGTCGTAATGTATCATTAACTAATATGACAAAAACAAATCGAAAATTTGGTCATTTTGATTGTGATACACCAAGAGAATTATTAATATCAACATTATCTGCTGCAAAGAAAATTGATTCAAATATTGATTTTATTATTTGGCTTGGGTATAGATTCATTTCTTTTCTTAGAATTATTGAATTTTAATTCTATTAGTGATGCAACAAGTCATCTAGCACATAGTAGTGATACTATTCTAACTGTTAATCAATACTTTTCTCAAGAATTACGAAAACATTTTCGAAAAACTCTTGTTATACCTGTTTTAGGTAAATTTTGAATTTTTTTAATATAATGGATAGAAAAATATTTATTGTTCTTATTTTTTTAGGAAATCATGATGTTGTCTTAAAAACAAATCGATCAACACGTTTTATACAATTTTATAATGAAACAAAATATAATTTGTTATTAAATGATGATGATGCACTTCGAACATTTTTAAAAGGTATTATACAAAGAAAAAATTAATAAACTGATAGAAGATTACTACGAACCGATATTGTTGCTATATAGATTTATTTTAGGTGGTTATTATTCATTAAACTTTCGACCGTTAAAAAATAAACCACAAACAGTTTTACGTTTTATTGCACTTAATACCGCAATGTTTCAACCACAATATATGGATTATTTTGATTCAAATGAACCTAATGAACAAATTGAGTATGTAAATTAATTGATTTACTGAGAGAAGATTCTAAGGCTTTTATTTGACTTGATTGTTTCTTTGTATGTTTAAAAGAGCGAAGTACAAAAAATAAAAACTAGTGTCATGTCTAACATCGAATGTATGTTCCATATTCTTCATTTTCTGAGTATATAACATCACTGTGTTATTAAAAAGTAATTAACGAAAGAATCATTGTATGCTTTACGTTTGAAGACTCATGTACTCTTGAGATTTACTATGTCTCTTACAGCACAAATTAATTGTTTATTTAGATTTTATCCTCTTGCTGTTGTGTCTGCATTTATTCAAATAAAATAAGAGCTAATAATAGTATCTCGTAATAGATAGAAAAAAACGGAAAATGTCAAAAAGGCATCCGAATTCGAGATTTATTAGAATATAAATAAAACAAAGAACAATATTATCACAAGAGCTTGTGTTGTTATCAATCGATTCCTTTAATAACTGTATCAATAAAGAATGGTTACAAAAAAAAAGAATCTTTTATCAGAAGTATAACGACTCAATTAACGATAATAGCTGCGCTAAATTAGAACTAATTAATTTTATAATATTGATTCCGTCTGATGCATTACCCGAGGTGTTGGGAATTGCAATAATGTGTTGATTCCTTTTTTTGTGTTGAAACTAACATCCAATGTTTTTCTTTTTCATAAAAAGACTTTACCATTGTAATTTATGCTCTATTGAATGAATATATTTTATTTTCAGGTGGTTTAATAAAACGATGTTTGAGGCGCATAATCTCAATAATCGTATATTACTTTTAGCTCATGTACCATTTGGTATAAATGAAAATTTATTATATAAATTTTATCATATAAAATATGAACAAAAGCTTTTATCTATAATTAATCAATATTCATCAAATATAATAATGTGCTTAAGTGCTCATCGTCATCAAGACTTATTTCGTGTTTATTCATCATTAAATATAACGATGGGCATTATTGGACATCCATCTATTAGTCCTATTGGTTATTTAAGTCAACCATCGATTCGAAAATATTCATATGATAGAAAATCACTCATATTAACTGATTACGAACAATATTCATTAAATCTACATGCAGCTGAACGTACACAAAAAGACCAATGGACATTTTCTTATAGATTTTCATCATGGTATCATCAATCGAAAGAACTTACATCAAAAAATTTATTGCAACTGATTTATTTAATACGAACAAATTCTTTTTATTTAAAACGTTTTCTATTAACAAAACATTATACAGAAAAGATAGTTTTAACAAATCATCGAATAGTTCAAACATTATGTGCATTAACACTTTTCAATTTTGATGAATTTATGTCATGTACAAGAGTATTAGAAAAAAAAGGTGTTCAATATGATAATATAGCTTTTAATAATTCATTAGAAAGCAAGTCTCATGTGAATGAACAGCTAATAGAATATAGAATTATTTATAGGCGTGTTGCATTCAGTCTTTTTATTTTTCTTGTTATTATTGCGTGCACTATTTATCGAATTTATCTGAAGTTTTTTTTATAGTATGGATTGGCAATAAGAATAATTTTTTGTTATTGTTGTTTTCCATGAAATAAAAAGAAAATCCCTAATTCGAATTTCTTAATCTATTTATACCAATTTGGTTGTCACTTAGACAAAACATTTTATGACATCTTCGGCCTTGTCAATCAATAATATATAATAATAGAAAAAGAATGATGTACATGTGTTTAATTTTTATCAGATTTTCAATCGTTGTATCTACTACAATTATATATATGTATCCATATGCACACATTGAGAACGCATTACATTGCCCGAAGAGATGAATAAATATGGCTTTTTTTTCTCGTTCTTCAATAGCTTTGTTGTTACCAATTTTGGAATATCCATTTTTATCATTATTATTATTATTATTATTATTATCATTGAAGCAATAAGAACGTTGTTGTCATGTAAATGATTTGTTCTTCAATGAAGTGCTTCATACATTGCTTAGTCTTTTCTATTTTATTCAAATTTATCGCGTAAAAAGAAGCGACAAAGATTTGTCTACATCTATGAATTACTTCTCAGTTCTAGACATTCGCATGCGTTTCTTCGATCGTATGCTATATTGTTTGTGTGCGAAGTAGAAGCGTCTCAAAACTAGGACAGAATGAAATAACAACAACATCACCGCCATTTCCGCACGTCGAGTAGATAATTTATTCTGAGAGATAGAGCGAGGATTCCCAAGAGAAAAAATAGTCTCTATCTCTGCAACATTAGACTATAGAACTATATTAACGTTAAACCGCATCGAATATTTCAGAGAGCGTTCTGTGTTTTAACAACAAAATAATGGTAAATAATAGATTTTTAGGATTGAAGTCATATTTTCCAAACATTCTTCTCTCTTAATCTAATTTAGACAGATGAAACAAAAAAATTTTGGCATGAAAAAATGAAACACTTATTTCATCTCTATGGTAGATATTTTTCAACTAATAATATCTTTATTAATTAAGTGCTAAATATTCTCGTTCTTTTTCTTTTTTCTAGATGTTGATAGAGATGGTTCAATAACTCCAATCGATTTTGAGATTCTTGCTGATAAACTTTCAACACTTGTCGGACAAGATGATGGGAAACGACGTGAAGACTATGCAAATGCAAGAAAAACTCTGTGTCAAGAAATCATGAGAGCAGATGCTAATCTAGATGGAAAAGTAACATTAGGTTAGATTTTTCAATAATGTATTTTAGTTTTCAAAAAAAAAAATTTTTTTTCATTTAAGAAGAGTGGCTTAATTTTCATGAAAATCTTGCTAATGAATTACGTAAACCTGATACAAATCCGGAAGTATTAGAACAAATATCTCAACGTATAAATACAGCATTTAATATGCTTGATCTGAATCATGATGGTTATATAGCAATTGATGAATGGATAAAAACTTGTGAATTTTTTGGTGTTGATGAAAAAACAGCAGAAAAATCTTTTCATCAAATAACGGAGCAAGATAAACTTGAAGAAGATAGAGCTAAACAATTATTTTTTGAATATCTAAAAACAGATGATCCAAATCATATATCAAATTGTTGTTTGTGTTTTCTTTGATAGGCCTTGTCATTTATTATATGATATCACTCATCAAAATTAAGCATATATATGTTGTTTTCGTCTTTCTATGTATTGCATTTATGTTGTCTTTTTCTTTCTTTTATCTTTCGGTTTTGATACAGAGTTATTGGAATAAATCGTACAAGCAATGACAATTGAAATATTAAGAATGAAACTAATTAATAAATTTATCACCATACTCATGTCTTTTGTTTGAATAAAATTTGTAATTATTCGAGCTAAATTATATAATATTGTAGAAGATAAAAATAAAGATTAATACATCATACCACAATTACTATAAGATGCAATAATCCAACCAGTTCGACTAACTTGACCAGCACTTTTATTTGAAAGAATTGTTCGTAATTGAATTATTTTTGATGAAGCACCAATAGGAATAACAAACATCTGTAATGAAGATATTCGAATAAAACAATTTTATTTACTGTCAAATTAAAATAGAATTTCTTACAGTACAAATACTCATCCATTTTTTTGGTAGAAGATTCAACAAACTTGCTACTAGATAAAGACAAAAACTATTAAAAATAAACAATACATATTAGTATTTGATTATGAAGAATTGTTTGTATATTAACATTAATATTCCATATAAAGGTTTTGATCCATCATTCTGTTTATCTTTGTCTTTTGTTGAATATGTTGCCAATGCCCAGAGAAGAAATATATCTAAATTAATTATTTCTCATAGTAACTTTTTAAAAATACAAATTTCTTACCTTGTATAAAAAGAAATATATATTCAAAAAATGCTGATAATGGATAATTTCTCCAAAGATTATAAGTTAAAACTAATGTATAACTAAAATGAATGAAATTTAGGAAAAAAAAAACGATTTCATTATGTTTATTTGCTTACGCTGTTTCTTCAAGTAATACAGATGATATTGAAATACTAGCAACATTTTTTGTTTTATAAATACGAACTATTTGTGGTAATTTTTGTATAAGACATAAAATGTTAACTGAAAGACTCAATAAGTCTAATAAAATCATTTATTGTATATTCTAAAATTATTGAATATCTTAAATATTCTTTCAAATGATTTAAATAATCTTCTACATATCAAATTATGTAATTCGATATCGCAGATTTTTCTCAAGGTCATTCGGAAAAATATTACATTCAAAAAATAATTAATAATAAACTTTGACAATAGAAAATGTTTATATAGTAAAATCGTCAATTGTAATAAAAGCTCGATGAATGTATAATGAACTAATTTGAATATTCATGCATTATGACATGATCAATATTTTTTATAAGAGATCTAAAGGAAACATTCTGTTGACATAAATTGTTTATTTGTCAAATACATTTAGTATATGTTATCTTTGTATTCATGCATATCAATATTTATAATTAAAAATCAGTTTGAGATTAGACATAAGGAAATTATTGGTCAAATATATTCTGAAAAAGGAAAATGTCTTTGTCGTGGAGATAAAATTCACCTTTTTTTTTTATTATATCATCTTATCTCAAGTTTTCTTCTAGTAAATCACCTCCTGTCAAAATAATCTTGATCTTTTTTTTTTCTTCTTCTTCTTTATCAATAAAGAAAAAAAAATATATAAATGATTTTATTTTCTGTCTATTTATCAATGATGAAAGTTAGATAACTGTGACTAATCGTTTCTTATAATATTTTAATTAATTTGAGTTAAATAAAATAACTTATTGAAAACTTTTGAATGTCGAAAAAAAGCAATTGAAAAGCTAAGATTTATTTCATTATTCTAATTGAAAAAATAATGTATATATGAGTTGGAATAAAATTTTTTTCATTGAGAATTGATTACAAATGAACAGGCAAAAGAGATGAATATAGCAGTAAGAGTTCTGATGAATATGTGCTCGATATTGATTAAAGCCAAACATCTATCAGATAAAAGTAGCAGAATCGATTTTATTGATGATTTACCATACAAATGATTACAGACCATCAATCATGTAAGAATAGAGAAGAAATTTGTTTTTTGTGCTAAACGCTTTATCTTTGCATTAGTATTCTTATTATTGGCCGATTCCGATTATTTTATTATCGAGGTAATTTAAATCATTGGTTTTTCTCACAAATGGTTTCATCACTGAGTTATTATATTTAGTTTTTTGAAGATTTATTTCCTTTATAGTAAATTATTGTAGCCAGTTCTTATTCTTGAATTGTGATGTGTAACAAGAATTATGAATAGATAAATAGAAATTCTTGAATATGGTCTAATTGTTCAAGAAGAAAACTATCCTGTATGAAATTTCGTTTTCGTTTAAGGGGGAACCCCCCCCTCAGAAACTTATCTTCTAAACGGTTCAAGAGATTTCGATGAAAATTGCAGGAAATAGAAAAGCTAATGTAACTAGCATCTGATAAAAATTTGAACCAATCATTTTTGATAATTGAGGAGTTATACTCAATTTACTCATGAAAATGGGGCTTTTGGCACGGAACATTTTCCCGAGGCACGATAGCATGGAAAATGTTGAAATTTGTTTCAAAATGAAGAAAAATCTTTTATCTAGAAATTGTGGGGACAGTTTTTTGAAATTCATCTTTGTTCAATAGTAGTGATCAATTTAAATCGAAAATCGAAAAAACTGCTTTGATCTCTTTCAAAGATTTTCTAATATCTGAACAACGGAGATATATTTTAGAAATCTGTTCCCACAATTTCTAGAAAAAAGTCTTATCTTTTGAATAAAAAAAATATCAGCAGCGTACGTCAAACAGTGGACTGGGAAAATGTTCCGCAGTGATCAGTAAGCGATAAAAAAGTGAAGCTGAGAAAAACGAATAACAACATTGCGAAGTAGTTGATGATGTTCCTGTGTAGAAAATTGGAGCATATTATATATCATTGGAAAGTGTGTAAAAAGGTCTTCCAGTTGATGATGCTTTCAAGAAAAAATTAAGCTAATTTCTAAATCCAAGTTTACTGTAGCGCCACCTTTTCGAAAAATAACCTAATTTTGAAGCTTCCTTCTCTGACTGCAACAGGTAGAACATGATTACTTGATACGTCGATGGTTTTATACTTCTGATAAAGAAGATGGAACGATATTAATTACCGGTAACTAAGGAAAAAAAATCAACACAACAGTCGATTTTCCACTATGACTTCCAATAGACGCCCCAGAATTTGGCAAAATATGTTCCATTCTTATATAATTTATACATATTCTGAAAGAGGACACTCAGGGCTACTAGAATATGTGTTTTTTCAAAAATCGAGTTTTTTAAGAAAAATCGACTTTCTGAGGGGGGGTTCCCCCTTAAACGTTAACTTTTCGAACAATATTCTATGATTTCTGCAAGAGATAAACGAACTTTTAAACTCAGGAGAATAATTTTTCATGCCTATACTGTTCAATTGTTATTTTGTTCGAATCGTGCATTTTTATATCAAAATGAACAAAATTCGAAATAATCATATATATAATTAATTAATTTTTTTATAGGTTCTCTGATTAGATCCGGTACAGATGCTCTATTCATGAATGATATTTATATTTTAATCTTATTAAATACTCATCATATTTGTTTTCCTTCTTATTTATTTTTAAGAATAAGACAAATCAAATTCTGACGGTAATTCATATACTAATTCCATTAGAATAGTCGCTTTTATTAACCTTTTTTATTGCATTTTATTTTCTACAACATTTTCCAAGAGGAGAAAAGCAACCTTCAGTCTCCTACACAACAGTTATGAGGCTAATCTAATGTTGTTCATCTTTTAATGAGATGGTTGTTTGTTTTCGTAGTTGACAGTATAATAGGTTCGTTGAAATTCAGATTAAATCTTGCATATCACGTATTTATACATTAAGAAATTGATAAGTCTCTTTAACTATTTTTGAATTTTCATATCTTTCTTGATTTGTTTTGTTTTTCGGTTGTGTGAAGTTTTGGCATTTTTGTCTAGCATCTGTCGGAATTTTCACAGTAAAAAATATTGTTGTAATTCTGGCTTACTACCGAGCTGCAGTGGAATGTAGCAAGAGTATTGGTGACACTCGAATTTCGACAATTTCCCAGAGGAATTTTAACAATCTTTTTATTGGAAAAGTTCGTATGAACTTTGAGCAAATTATCCATACTCAGATGGTGAAATTTCAGCTTAGCAAGTATAAAAATAAAAATCATGCTTGAAATTCTCTTGTTTTTGATTGCGAACAATCCAAAATTTCGTCAAAACATCTATTCAAGATATTGATATATTAAAGTTACCAATCAAATATCTGTGAACAGTTAGATGTTGTTTTATAGATGTAGATATTCAATATTCTACTGTACGATCATTCAGCTTTGCTTTTTTTTCTTATTTGACTATTTAAAATCGATTATTCTTACAGTTTCATCTCAGCATCATGAATTACTTTGACATTATTAACACAAATTTTAACCGATATAAAGATTTATTTTTCAACTAGGAACTGTTTTTTTGACAAATTCTTCTGATATTTTCAATTGAGTCTGACAAATCTTTTTGATTGAATAGAATTCTCTAAAATCTATATATCTTGGAATACTCAAAAACGATAAATATAAAAGAAAATAGAAAATATTTTCCGAGTATAATTCCGGTATACCGAACTCTTTATTAAGATAAGTTGATAAGAACACTTTGAATAGGGCATAGAAAAAAGGAAAACTGAATAATTCTATTTTATCTAAGAACATTCTTTTCAAAGGAAGTGGCGCCTATACCCCCCCCCCCCCCCCCCCCCCCCCCCGCACAGTTTTTTTCTATTTGCCTATTTTTTGGTTTAGACTTGTGGGAAGATATGAAATCACTGGACTAGACCTTTGTCTTTTTTGATATTAGCAAGAAACTTAATAATTTCGGAAAGAGCGGTTTCCATGATTTTGACTATCGAAAGTCGATTTGTATCAAAGATAGGCATGATATTCGGAATTAGCATGCGAAAATACACCAGAAACTCTGTTTTTCATCGTAAAACTTTTCCATCAAAATTTTGACCTGTAGGGGAGTATAGGTTACAATTTAAGGAATAGATGGCTAAAGGGAAATAGGGGTAAAATTATGATGAAAAAGTTTTACGATGAAAAATAGAGTTTCTGGTGTATTTTCGCATGCGGATTCCGAATACATACCTATTCTTGCTACACATCGATTTTCGATAGTCAAAATCTAGAAATACTACGCATTTCCATGATATTTTCTATGAGAACCGTCCTTTCCGAAAGTATTATGTTGCTTGCTAATATCAAAAATGTCGAAGGTCTGGTTCAGTGATTTCATATTTTCACACAAGCCTAAATCAAAAAATAGGCAAATGGAAAAAACTATGCGGGGGGTGGGAGATATAGGCTATAGAAAAGGCGCCACTTACTTTATTTTTTATGGTCAGTAATTTATCAAACATTAAAAATACTTTGATATTACAAAAATATTGCTCAAAACTAAAAGTTATTTTTACACTTATGCATTTTGTTTTGTTTTTTTCCGTTTACGATTAACTTGTTGTTCGCTGTAAAAGACATTTATATTTTATGTGGATAAGACTTTCACTAGCACATTTATGTAAAGGAACAATGAAATAGATAAAAGAAAAAAAAAAAGAAAATTTTGACTTAAATACATATACTACGAAAATGATTCAAATTGAATCGTCCTGAATAAAATTCTTTACGACGAACTATTTTTCGACTCATTTCATCACTCAAGACATCGTAATTACACTTGAATTAGTTATTGCATTTTGATGACAAAAACAGTTTTTTTTTCGAAAACTTTATTCCTCTTGATAGAAATAAAGTGACGAACAAAAGGTTAACAAAATATTGTATTTTTTTTATTCTGTTTAATGTTTCATACTAAGAAAACTTTAATCATTGATATACGTAGGTATAGTCTATCGTTACTAATAGCATGTGACAAGACCAAAAAGATGTCAGTATCTTTGTTCAAATTAAGATTTAATTGTTTTCTCGACTGAAAAAACATTTCAAATCAACTTATATACGCTTATT